TGTAACAATAGTAGGATAATACAATATATGAAAATTCGCTCTGATAATTCGTCTGTGCAAATTGTCAGTTATGTGACTTTGACTTAATCTCATTGTTTCAATTAATAAAGGTAATGTTAATTAATAATTTTGGTGTAAATTTTATTTGGGTTTATGTTTCTCTGCTTTACTTCAGATTTTAGCATACGTAACTATGTATGACTTAAATTAAATGAACATGAAGCAACACAATTATTTTGATTTAGTAAAATTAGTGCGCTTTCTTTAATTTTACGTTTTTTTGTGGATTGTTCTTTTGTTAAAATTGTGGAATTATTCCATTGAACTTTATGGCAATTATCAAATGCATGTTGACAAATGTGTGATTTATGATATTCTCTGTTTGAGGCGAAATACCCAAAAAGAAGTTTGTAAAAAATGAATCCGCCTCAACAACATAGAACTTATCAACAATTTAAACGTTTTGAATTTAGTTCATCTAAGTTAGTCATGAAAAAAAAAATAGTATAAGAAACATTGTTTCCATAGCAACAAATAATAACAACATCTTTCAATTTTTGACATTAAAGTTTAAATTCAACTTAGAAGTCTAAGTTAATTTTATTGTAAAAATGAATTATTCCAATCAAGAAAAGCGCCACATGATTGAAACCTGTGTTGATGTGATAAAAATGCTAGACGAGTCTCTGATTACTATTTTGAGAGGTATTTTGACCGTCGTCAACCGTCCTTGAAAACACTCAAACTATTATATGACAATTTGGGCACTTATGGAACTTTTACGCAGCCAAGAAATGAAAATAAAGTAATAAATGAAGCTGTGGAGGTTATTATCTTGGCCATTGTAAGCCAGAATCCACAGATTTCAACCAGATAGGTACATCGCAGCAGAATCCGGGACTTCGCAAAGCACCGTGACGAGAGTTTCCAAGAACTTTTCCGAGAGAACCCAAATTCCATCCGTATAAATTGTCAGTATCCCAAACTTTACATCCAGGGGATGAGGAGCTGAGTGTGAATTTTTGTACCTGGTTCGGAAACAAATGCCAATAAGACCAAGAAGTGCGGAATCAGATGGACGTAACATTTCCTGGGGCTTGGATTAGACGAAACACCCCTATTTTATGGCCACCTCGATCACCGGATCTTTCACCTTTGGATTTCCTTTTGTGGGGAGCCGTAAAAAACACAGTTTACAAAAACAAATATTCCAATTTAAATGCACTTAAAGAAGCTGTTGTTAGAGCATTTGAAAATATTGATGGTCGGTCCGGAAGAAAAGCAACTTATTCAGTTTTAAAGCGTTCCAATGGTTGCATTGATAATAATGGTGGACTTTTTGAAAATGTTTTCCAATAAAAATTAGTTTCTAGAGTTAAATTTTATTTATTACTGGTATTATTTGATTTTTATGACACTTTAAATGAGCAGCCGTCGTAATTAAAATAAAGTTATTGCCAACTTTAACGTAGTTGTCAAAATAAAGCATACTGAAGCATACTGTTATTCAGTGATACTATGGAAACAATGCTATATTTCTTATACTATTTTCCGTGGCTTACTTCGATCAAGTAAATTGAAAAAGTATAAATTATACGCGGACACTTTATTTTCGAAAAAAATAATAACGATGTCATATGTATATTTCTACTTTTAATGGTAAGAGTTGGATATAATATATCTGTTTTACAAAATATTT